AACACAGCTTGCAGAGCAGAAAAAATTCTTTTTTACATCTAAATTGAGTAATCTATCTTTTTTTAAAATGAAATACTTAGCTACAAGATCAGGCCAATCACAAGCTTGTTACATAAACATTAAGTTTTCCTGAATAAATGATATGTGAATGTGTCATGTATCTTAACATATTGCTTCGTAAATAAAATGTATGCTGTCAATTCACATCAGTTACAAATTTTTAATTTAGCGCTAATTTTCAAGTTAATCAATAACTCGCCTTTTAAAAAGCGATACATCACTTATTTTATGTCAAAATAAAATAAAATATCGTTAGTAGTAAGGATTTCTATCGTCATACTCGTGTTTATTTTCATTGTGTGTATACATTTGTGCTTAATGTGTGTGTTTTTACTTCTGATTTTTTAAATAATGAACAGTTCTTCATAAACTTTGGTCGACGTTTTTCTCCTGCAACCTACGGATGCCCATAGACTAGTAAATTTCGTGTTTTGTTGTTACACGTAATCGCTTGATGTAATACTCAAGTATTCTTATTGACTTATAATCTTTAATAATAAAAATAAGAAACGTACCAACTAATGGATTTCTAACTTATATTTAGCAACGACAAAAACGTTTCAGCAATATTGTATTGTTCAATTAAAGGTATATTCCTTTAGGGGTAGCGGTTGGCCTCTGGTCTATATGGAATGTTCCCCACGTACTATCAAGAGATCTGGGGAGCTCTCCATATGGATGGACTAGAACTCGTAATACCAAAAACTAATTAAAGGTTTATAACGAAAATAAAGGCCGTTGTAAGGATATAACAATGGGGGTAGTAATTTATTTAAAAAAAAAACAACAATAATAATAATAATATAGAATAGAACAAAGCGGCGTTGGCTCAGTGGTGAGCGTGCTTATTACTGATACAACGCTGTTCTAGGGGTCGTGGACTTAATTCCTAGTGAAAGCAGATTTTTCAAAAACTGTTTTCATCGGGAAATGTTCCTATGTAACCCCGGCTGTTTCGGGGCGGGTTTTTCCATGGAATTTTCCATCAGAGTGATTCCAGGGTTTTTTCCTTACCCCTCAGGTCTTTGGGCCTGGGTGAATGCCAAACAGTGTTAGGGCTATAGGTAGGGATAAGCGGATCTAATACCAGGCGTCGGGCAGGGATCGCCGGCCTTACCATCGAGGAGTGGTCCCTGGAACATGGGGATTTCTCCGGGGATGCTAATTAGCCTGGATCCAATGCTTCGGCAGAGAACGCCGGTTTAACCAGCGAGGAGTAGACGTCCTGGAATATTATGGAGTCCTCTCCAGGGAAAGGCTACACAGTGGCGAGTGTCAGCTTGACTGGCAAGGTGTTCCACTGGAGATACTCACACTGTGCCCATGGATTCAGCTACGATATTAATAAAAAGGGTTGGAAATGGGTGCAGCGGAAATACACCCCACACATAGGTGGTGAGTGGGTGGCCTCGGCGACCAGGCCAGTAGGCTGTCGTGGTAACCGGATAAAAAAAAAAAAATTATCAAGGCTTTCTAAAACCTTGAAAAAATTTTTTTTGCTCACTACACTTAAAAATACTTGGCTTTCCAACTACCGGTGTCGTTATCGGATCCGATGCGCCAGGCAGGGATCGCTGGCCTTACCGGCGAGGAGTGGACGTCTTGAAATACGACGTCCTCTCCGGGTAAAGGCTACACAGTAACGAGTGGACCCGATGCACCATTGGTGCGGAGAGTGTCAGCTTAACTGGCAAGGTGTTTCACCGGAGATACTTACACTGTACATAAGTGGTGAGTGGGTGGCCCTGGCAACTAGGCCAGTAGACATTTGTAGTGACCCAGTCAGAAAAAAAAAAAAAAAAAAAAGTAAATAAACGATACATCTTACATGTTATGGATTTATTTTATTCATAATTTAATGGTAATACAACATTTTGATTAAAATTCGTATTTATATAACGATGCACCCAATGGACTTTCAAGACTTGCGTTTACTAAAGTAATTTATTAAAAATTCAACATGTAACTGTATCCCCATACTACTACGTGCAATATTGTTCAACCTATTTTGAAGCATTGAAGAACGTATGAAGTTTTTCAATATTTTTATAACGGAAAAAATTTGTGTATCGACACATGACGTACTTGGTACAGAAGGTAACAGACGAACACCTCCTATCCACGTTGTGAACCCGCCTGTTGCGCCACCCTCGTAACAATCAATGAAACTGACGAGAGGCAGTTAAACAAACCAAAAAAACATGTTCAAGATAGGAGCCGTAAGAGAAAAAGTTGAATCTTTAATGAAAAAACAGCCGAGAACAGCCTACGCATTGGTGCACTGTTCCCCCAGTATAAGATTAAAAAAGGATCCTACATACATCGATCTCAAAACAATGCCAGAATTGGATAGTTGCTTGTAAATGCAACAAACGCATAACCTCGCAATGGTAGTGTGCGGCTGAGTCGGCTGAGTCAGCTGAGTAGGCTGTTTTCGGCTATTTTTTCATTCAAATTTTTTTTTTCAAATTTCAAAAAGAAATTCGAATTTTTCTCCAACGGCTCCTATCTCAGACATGTTATTTTGGTTTGTATACCTGCCTCTCGTCAGTTTCATTGATTGCCACGAGGGCAGCACTACATAATCGGGTTCACATCGCGAATAAATTCGGATACCAGTGTTGGCAAAGAGGATCTTTGCATACCCCCACCGCTATCAGAACTTTCCGTTGGATAAGTTCCGAAGCCAATCAGAGCAGAGCTATAGTAGAAGTGTAGGAGAAGACTTCTTTCTCCTGTGAATAATAACGCAAGCACCTATCTCCACACAACCCGGGGCACTTACTAGCTGCTTAAATTATTAATGAACCAAATATAATAACGCAAGCGCCCATCCCAACATAACACGGGGCGCTTACTGGTCGCCTTGATTCTTTATATTAGGTAAAAAATAATGCAAGCGCAAATCCCAACACATTTTGAGGAGCTTGGATTATTCTATTTATTATAAATAATTAAAGTAGCCAGTAAGCGCCCACTTACGTTGTTATTTTATTAATTATAAATAATCAAAGTAGCCAGTAAGTGTCCTGGGTTGTGTGGCGCTTGCGTTGTTATTTTATATATTATAAATAATCAAAGCGACGGGTAATTGCCCCGGGTTGTGTGGGTATAGGCATTTGCGTTATTTTACTAACCATAAATAATTAAAGCAACCAGTAAGCACCCCGGGTTGTGTGGGGATAGGGGCTAGCGTTATTATTTTATATATTATGGAGAATTAAAGCGACGAGTAATTGCCTCGGGTTGTGTGGGTATAGCGCTTGCGTTATTATTCACAAGAGAAATAAGTCTTCCCCTACACTCCTGCTGTAGCTCTGCTTTGATTGGCTTTGGAACTTTTCCAACGGAAAGTTCCGATGGAGGTGGGGGTATGCGAAGACCCTGTTTGCCAACACTGTCGGATACAAATCCTCGACACCACTCATAAACTCTACATTAAATACAAAATGAATAATATTTTCAGCTTCCAGTTATTTAAATTAAATGAATATTTGAAAATACATGATCAAGTTTTATTTTTGAGTGAGCACTTTCTTAAAATTTGGTAAAAATTGCTTCACTGCAATACTTTACGAATGTAAAGTTTCCTTCAGAGATATTTTCCAAAAAAAAAGGGTAAGAGCTTGTTTCTTTTTAAAATAAGTCAAATAATAATAAAAAAAAATCGGAAACAAAATTTATTAATTTCGGTAATTGTTCTAAAACGTCACATTGGTGTAAAATCTCATCTTTGTGTATCGTGTGTTCGTATACCTATATATATATATAACTTTTTATTGACGTGGCGTTTTAGAACGAATGATCCATATACATTTTGTTTGGGATGCAACATTTTGCGAAAGTATTTGATTTGAACTGCACTCACAACAACGAAACAAGACTGCTTATCCTATGATGGTAGTAATTTATTTATATTATATCACTAGGTTCTCTAGCTTTAATTTAGCAGGAACAGCTCATACAATACAATGACATTTTATTTTTTTATTTTTCCACTTAGCCTGTGTTAATTGCTGTCTTAAGCGTCTACATTTGTTTCTGTTAAGGATGATTTGGAGAAGAAATTCGTGCAGTGCTTGGAAGTTTAAATGCCTAATAATTTCAAAACTGAATTCAATAAACAACTATACATTTTTCCGCTAGACGCTACTATACACAAATCTATAGATTTGCTCCAATCATGTACTTGTTAGTTATTTAACATTGGTCACATTGATCATTCAAGAGTGATGCTTAAAATGTATACCAAATTTAAATTCAAATATTATTCATTTAAAATAAAGTTCTTACTATAAGATATGTGTTAATAGATAATTTTGGAAAATGAATGCATTCCACATCAGTTACTCATAATTTTGCAAATCCAATAACTTTGAATAATTACATAAAATTTCATGTATCATTTACGAGAGCTGTTCTGTTCTTTAACTTATTTTAAATATTAAAACTTACACAAGAGTTGATTGATAACAAAAAGATAAAATGTAGCAACAAAATTCTGAATCCACCTTTAAGCATAAATCTTTGAAAAAAATTCTTATTGGGCTACATTAAATATTCAAGTATTTGAATAATTATGAACAGTAATTGTATGAAAGTATTACCCGCAATAATTGAAATACCTTAAAAATAATTATAACTAAACGATTATGGCGGAACAGGAAAAAATAATTAGAAAGAGTAACCATCACAGGAAGACTAAGCATGTCTCACTGTAAACAAAGCCAGGTGAGGTCGTGACTAACTTTTAGATATGACTCTGAGCATGAGGCCTTTTCATGGCATGTACTAATTACGATACATCAAGAAATAACACTATTTGTCTTGCTTTCTGGCTTTTAGAGAATAAAAATTACAATGTCTGTGTGCTTATTTGGACATTTTTATCAACATTGATTATCTTGTTTTCCATAAAAATTGAAAATGAGTTATCTTACCATTTGCTCGTTTCAAAGCGTTTTCTGGTCTCTGTCCATACCTAGCCATTTTATGAGTGAATATGCACCCACTTTTCCTTAGTCTTATTTTTTTATATCACAACACTACTTGTAAAACGAGAAATAGATTACAAAAAACCTAGGTTTCAAGAAAATTGCATGTCCTACCGCGTGTCGCACCTCTCATGTTACAAACTTAAGGGCCCGCTCACATGGGGTTATTGAAATTGGGTTGATTGCTATTGATCCACGGTGTAGTTCGTATTGTCAGTAGAATTCCATCGTCATAGGTTTGGAGATATAGGATATAGGGAGTAATCCGCAATCGCCGCCAGCAGTTACATTTGTAAGACGTGACAACGTTGCGTGGTTGGGGGCGCTACTGTCGATTTACTGGTGATGTGATCTGCAATCCCGTCAGCAGTAAAGCAGACGACGTCAGTCTACTTGCTCTTTTTCGTGACATTTTCTGATTGTAAACAAAGTATATTGTGCTAGACGTAAACAAACACGCAGACCAAAAAAAATAGTTTCAAGTGCCAAAAAGAAAAATAGAAATAACAGCTTTATTGCTAGCGGGATTGCGCGGGATCACAGCAAAAATGTCACGAAAAAGAGTAAGTAGACCGACGTTGTCTGCTTTACTGCTGGCGGGATTGCGGATCACATCACCAGTAAATCGACAGTAGTGCCCCCAACCACGAAACGTTGTCACGTCTTACATGTGCAACCGCTGGCGGCGATTGCGGATTACACCTATAGTTGGCAACTCTGAAATGAAATAAGCAAAAAATGTCTATGTGAATAGCTCCAAAATGCGTAGAGACCTTCATACATGTATCACGCACATAGGCTATGACTTTAGCGTAGAAACTTTATAAGTTGGGCTGCAGTCACATGGAGCGCAATAGAGCGAGCAGGATAGGAATTTCTCCGTAAGCGGCTGTGTTAAGTCTATTGCACTGCAGGATAGCCCTATTACGCGGCGCAATAGACTTGACACAGCCGCTCATGGAGAAATTCCTATCCTGCTCGCTCTATTACGCTCCATGTGACTGTGGCCTTACTACTGTAATGATAATGTAATAAGAAATTTATGATAAAAATAGCTTACTTATTATGTTCATGTAATAAAAAATAAATATATTTTTTTTTAAACAATCTTTTACATAATTATTATGTATACACTGACGCTACCATTGCGTGGCACTTCAGTTCTTCGGTCATAAACTACGTGCATAATACACTTGGTAAAACAACGCTGAAACAGGTGGTCTCATTACTACTCGCGGTGTTGAGTACAGTGGGTCGAGGGACAGTGCGGTGGATAGCCGCCATTTATAGCATATGTCAGTAGCGGTCAATTTGAAATGGTAAATAATATTTTACATCACACCACTCCACAATCCCATTCTACAATCGCGCTTTCGCTGCACTGCGAAAGTGCGTGGGGGTAGCACAATTATAAAAGAAGTAGAAGAGGCCCTGCAATGACTTAGGCATAAAGCTGTATATCTATACACACAGAAAAACAGTAGGAGGTGCTGAAAATGGCGGAGCCAATCAGCACTGCGTGACCCTATCTACCACACTGTCCCTCGACAATGTCACTTAACTACTTGTCGCTCAACATTTCAGTACGTCGAGTCGACATACTGTAGTGTTGAGTGACAAGTAGCGCTGCCCTGATCGTTTGAAGCTTAACCAATTATACCACTACCGAAATAGAAACTAAATTTGGGTAAAAACCATCGACATGTAAGAAATAAACTGCTCGTTCTTATTTATGGCGCTAAAGCACAAGTAGAAAGAGACACCGCATCGAACGTGTATGTCTCTCTCTCTCTCGCACGTTGCCAACAAGGGGGGTCAGAAAACTAAGGCCAGCTGATGCAACCTCCATACCGTTGGCAACATGCAAAAAAGACAGATATACATATTCAATATTGTATATTGTGTCTTTTTCTACTTGTGCTTCAGTGCCGTACACAAGAACGAGCAGTCTATTTTTTTTATGTCTATGGTAAAAACTGGGCCAAGCTTGGCTGCCACGCTACCAACCTTGGCCGCAGCTGGGCTCATGACTTGGCATCAAGTGGGTTTATACTACGGCGCTGACTTGGGCGCAGCTCGGCCCGACTTGTCATGACTTTTGCCCAGTAATCGCCCACTTTCGTCTGCAGATCAGTGTATAATAAAGAGATGTCTATATATAAGTGTACAAATAAAGTATGACATGTGCGTGCGCAGACACGCACAGAATATATGTATGCAAACTTATATGCTCATATACATCGAATATTAGTGCGGACGAAAGTGGGCGATTACTGGGCAAAAGTCATGCCAAGTCGGGCCAAGCTGCGCCCAAGTCTGCGCCGTATTACAAACCTAATGGAGGCCAAGTCAGATGCCAAGCTGTGGCCAAGGTGGGCAGCGTGGCAGCCAAGCTTGGGCCCGGTTTTTGCCCATGAGCACTTTCAATTTTTATTCTGGTCTCTGCCAACTATGCTTGTAGAGCACTACTTCTAATTCTAACCACTATTCTCTACGGAAGGCGGTTGAGGGTTGAGGTCATGGCCATATGGGGAATTTTCTCAGGGCCGGTGAAGGAGGGTGCAAGAGATGCCGTAAGCAACAACCTAATGCATAAAAAACCAATGAAGCTTGATAACGTATATTCATATGAATGTATACATTTAATATTATTATTATCATTATTATTATCATATCTTATAAAGAGATAGAATATTTCCTTATTCTGTACTAAATTTAACACGATCTTTAAAAAATATTACTCATATAAAGATATAAAAAATTTAGGTAACACAAATACTTGAAGGTAAATATTACAGTTTAACTTTCGCGGGTCGCAGGTCTTGAGTTTGTTAGTGGCTTTGCCGCGCAGCGCCACAGTTGGCATAGTCTACTGACCGTCAGCGTTGGGTTAAGAGGATTCCTGCAGCGAAAATTACGGTCAGGAACATAAAAGTTACTGTCACTAACATACCGATATATAGAGCGTTGGAGAATCAAATACGTAGAGAAGGAGAGGGCATTCCAGAGATTCTCAACAGTGCTCCCAAATGCAACTGGCAATCGTGTGAGAAATAACACAAGCACCAATCCCCACACAACCCGGTGCGCTTACTGGTCCCTTTATTTAAAATAAATTAAATAACACAAGCGCCAATCCTCACACAACCCAGTGCGCTTACTGGTCCCTTTATTTATTTATAATAAATTAAATAACACAAGCGCCAATCCCCACACAACCCGGTGCGCTTACTGGTCCCTTTATTTAAAATAAATTAAATAACACAAGCGCCAATCCCCACACAACCCAGTGCGCTTACTAGTCCCTTTATTTATTTATGATAAATAAAGTATCAAGACAAGCGCCAATTCCCACACGACCCGGAGCCCTTAACGACCCTTTTATTTATTTTATAATAATGTAATGTCANGATAAGTGAAATTGTGTGGGGATTGGCGCTTGTGTTATTTAATTTATTTTAAATGAATAAAGGGACCAGTAAGCGCACCGAGTTATGTGGGAACAGGCGCTTGTCTTATCATTATATTTCTTTTAAATAAACAAATGGACCAGTAAGCGAACCAAGTTGTGTTGGGATTGGCGCTTGTGTTATTTAATTTATTTTAAATTAATAAATGGACAAGTAGACTGATAGAATTAGACTTTTCAAAAGATTAATTCCTATTAGCAAAAATTGGATTAGCGAGATGAAAGTGGTAGAAATGGCTGCAAGCAAAAACGAACCTCTGAATTTGTCAGCAAAGTTCCCAAAAAAAATGGTAAAAGTGCCAAAATCACCTAAATCGCGAATAAATCGAAAACAGTAATAAATGGAAAAAAAAGTTGAACACAAAAAAGATGCGCCTTTCCAAGCCGCACAAAAGTAGCCTTGTTGAAATTAATTTCATTAAATAGTTTTTTTGCAATTTGCAAAAAACCGCAAATTTAGCCGTTTTTTGAAAAATTCATAACTTAGTTCCATTTGGATTGAAGAGCTGAAAATTTTATGCAATGTTCCTTTCGTAGTCCTCAACATATACTCCAAATTTCAAGATGATACAATTAATAGTTTTTGCAAACCGTCGTGTTGAATAACAAATGGTCCCTTTAAAAAATGGCTCTAAAAAAGTTTTGAGACCACTTACGGCCATTTTTGAAAAGCGCTGCTCTTCGTCAAGAGTTAGTGTTCAACATGCTTAAATTTCATAATCCCATCTTGTTAAGAAGTACTGTTAAAATTGCATCGAAAAACAGTGATTTTCGCATGAGGCCGTCGGCGGCGCGTGGTGGGGCAAGCCGCCGAATTAGGCCAGGCCCACTTCCTCGCTGAGCGCTCGGCGCACTTTCGAGCGTGTAGGTTTAAAATGACAACGCGTTGTAAAACCAACGATATCTCCGGAACTAAGCATCAGAAATTGATGTTCTTTTTTTTAATCTGGGGTGGCTTTCAATAATATTGAGATTGCTCGCTTATCGACATATTAATAACAATAATAATAGTCATGGAAAAACCGTACTTCTGAAAATTGTTCTACTAGTTGTTGCAAATTTTAGTACTTTTGTAATAGATATTACATATTTTCATTTCCTGACTGTGTGTATGTCATAATTATTGTCGGCATTGGCCCCCGGGCGCGATCTCAGGTGAGATTTAATAAAGAATATTGATGCTAAAAAAGAAAAATTGATTTTACGGTATTCAAAGTTTCCTCGTTGGTCCATGTTATCATTAGGATGGTACGTCGAAAAACACATATATAAAGGTGTTTTATGTCTATTTTTTTAAAATGAAGTAAATTTCTTCAATTCTTAGATTAGATTAGATTAGATTCTTTATTTAGGCCTTGTGGCTATGCCATATCTGGCCCTCAATGAGCAGTACAAAGAATACACATAAAGTAACTCTTGAAGATACTTAGTAATTTACAATATTATATGATAAGCAGTATTGGTAAACATAATTATAAAATACAGTTACAATATGAAAAAAATTACAGAAAGTATACAAGTTAGAGCATAATAAATTCACATAGTATTGAAAGTATAAATGTAACATATAATAGATAAAAGTAATAACAGTATTATTCTAAGCAATGTGTAATAAAATCGAGTAAATATATAAAACAAAAGTACATACTGTGTAGCACACAAAAGCGCTTTTATAGATTTATTGTTTGAAATTTGGAAATTAAAGTTAACAAATAGGCGCGACGAAGTTCTTTGAAAATTTTAAGATCATCTAGGTTTTGCGTATGAAGAGCACGTTTGTATGCTACATCACGAGCTTTCATCAGACGCCGTAATGACGCATTATCCATGATTTGTAAGTAGATTTGATAGAAATTGTTTTAAGAGGAGCAACTGCGTCAAACGATGTGACAATGGTGGTATTGAAATCAGATAGTAATTGATCAACATTTTTGTTAGGAGCGGTATAATTCAATTTATTTAATGTACTTAAAATAATATCGTTTAGATTGTGAGTATTAATGTGATTAAGCGGTCTAGTTACTAATGTGATTTTGGATGGTAATGGTTTCAAGAAGCTGAGTAAAAGTATTATAAAGTCGTGTCCTGCAATGAACGGCGAATTAATTTCAGTGACTTGGCGTCACTGAGGGGCAAGCTGCTGTTTGGGTAGAAGGGTTTTAAGTTGAGCTTCAGAAGAGATTGGTATAAGAGGAGAGTTACGCTCCACTCTCATAAACACTGTAAGATTACGAATAATTGGGAAGGCATAATTTAAAGTTTTACGAGCTTTGACCGCTGCACACCACAGGCTATAAATTTTAGGGGGCAAAAACGGGCTGACATAAATTATCTGCTAGCTTACCCCCACATCCAAAAATTGTATCTGCTGTATTTTTCGATAATTTGTAAGACTCACCAAGTATTCGATTTTTCATGTCTATACAAACTGCGCGTGCAAGTATGCCACGAGCTAAAGTAGAAGAAGAGTTTACATTATGTGTCTTTCTCTTTGGTGTCCAGGGGCGTATAGTGCTGATAAGGGGCAACAAATCAGAACACCCCATTGTGTGGAGCACTTTCTTGGTGATTTCTGCATCAGTATTCTGAACTACACTAGGTATGTTTGTGATTAGAAATTCCGCAGTTTCAACCAAGGAGGACTTAGATGTTAGAAAATCAATTTTTTCCTGCTGGTTTTGCACAGCCTGATGTATCTTTACCATATCACCTCTAATCTCGTCTCTAAAGTTTTGTATTGAGTTAAGAACATCTGCTAGGGTAGGTTGACTGATATCGATCATGATTTTTTGTGTAATGCAATTAGAATTTTCAGAACGGGCAACTTTCAAAAAAGGTTGCTCTATTGAAAAAAACCATATACATTTTCCATATGGAAAAACCACATGGAAAATCCATATGGATTTTCCATGTGGTTCTTCCATATGGCTTTTGTATCAAATATCCATATGGATAAACCATATGGAAGTAGGTAAACCATTTGGAAGTAGGAGACCATATGGAAGTTGATAAGCCACGTGGAAGTCACTAAATTTTAAGAGTTGTGATATTCCGGTACAATAGATCAGACGCTCGGGAGAAAAATATTCTCCGGTCGATATAACGTGAATGAATATTAGGTATAATAATTAGGATACACCGAATAACTGGAGCAATTTCATGATGCCTTTTTGTTTACTTTTTGAACTGAGACCATCATTCTATATTTATAAAATTTCAAAGGAACAAAGAAATAGTTTTTCCGATCGTGTATAATACTAGTAGAAACTTTAAATATACGGAACGTCGTAATTGTAATTCTTTATATTGTGTAAGACACTGAAAAAAATTCAATATACGCTGTCGAATTTGTAAAAAGTATGACTGAATCTAGATTTTTATTATTTAGTAAATTTTAATGAAAGGTGCGTCAAAGACGAAACATGCAATCCTTACGTGTTAATTTCTTTATCGTGTAAGTTCAACAGACTACATGATTTACTATTTCAGCATAAAAAAAAACTTGATGTGTTGAAAAGTAATAGGCTTACAGGTTTTTCACAAGGCTTATCATTCACAATAATATAAAAAAAGTCATACGTTATCAGACACAATTTCAAAATATTTGATGCTGAAGTATGTTGAAATAATGAATACAGATAGAATTAGAATTTGACTATTAAGTCAATTGTGATACAGTGTATAACTGGTGGTCAGAGGTAACAAAGGAAAAATAAATAATACTTGCGTAATAAATAACTGTATTTAATCTAATTGTGTTGCAACATAATAAGTACAATGCTTATAAAATGCAAGAATTTTGTACAACAGTGTTATTACAATATGCTATATCTAAGTCCGTATACGTAATAGTTGTAACACGCATTATCATATCTTTGTAAATGTACATATAGAATAATACTTTTACGTGTAAATAGGATGCATAACAAGAAATTATATCGTTCTTTTCTACCTACTTGACGCAACATGATTTATGATTCACAAAATCGTCGTTTACAATATTATTTATAATTTCATAAAAATAATGAAGGTAATATGATTTTCACGAAAAACAACAACTGAAAAAATATATATTCCCTTACAGGTACACCAAAATAAATATTTTAACCCAAAGAATCAATGATGCATGTGCATTTTTTATTTCAAGCACAAACTACTCGAAAGATGACAAAAAATGATAACAAAAGTTGTTTTTATAATTTACGGTTATGGTTCTTTGACTGGCAAAAGTTTAGCATACGACTTTACTCTTATACTACAATTATTGAAAAAGAAGAATACTATTATGGTAGAGTTTGTCATCCTCTCAATAAAGA